GATAGAATGCCAGATAGAATGCCAGAAGATTTGCCAGATAGAATGCCAGAAAATATGCCAGAAGATATGCCAGATAGATATCAGCCAGAAGATATGCCAGAAGATATGCCAGAAGAATGTCAGAATAATGCCAGAAAGGATGCCAGATAGAATGCCAGAAAATATGTCAGAATATATGCCAGAAGATATGCCAGATAGAATGCCAGATAGAATGCTAGAAGATATGTCAGATAGAATGCCAGAAGATATGCCAGATAGAATGCCAAATAGAATGCCAGATAGAATGCCAGAAGATTTGCCAGATAGAATGCCAGATCATATGCCAGAAGATATGCCAGATAGAATGCCAAATAGAATGTCAGAAGATATGTCAGATAGAATGCCAGAAGATGTGCCAGTAAGAACATGTATAAATGTCATGGTGGGGATCACACGAGTAAAGTAATTTTTTGCATTCTTTAATTTGCAGTTTTGTTATTTCTCGGACCGGCGGCATGGGGAAGGCTTCAGCTGTTGAAGGGCTGGTGCCAAGCAAGTTGCTAAAGCAGCATCTGAAAGCTTGCAAGGCGTCTCTGACAAAATGCGGGCTGTGTGCTTTACACAACGCATGGAAAAAATACAAAAAGCCGTGGCTCAGGGCAAAATTAGTCAATGACGAAATCAAACTCGGATGCGCAATTTGTGCAACAGATGACTTGCCAGGACCGTGGGCAGCTTTCGAACAAGAGCCAGCAAACATTTTGAAAAAGAGCAACCTTGAAAGACATGAAAAATCACAATTGCATGTGATGGCATGCAAAGGCGCCGCCAGAAGCAATGCGTCTGCACAAACAGGACCTCCCAAGGCAGATTTTGAAGATGCCATGAAATCGATGATGCAAGGAGGATCCAGCCGACAGGGTGGTTCGGCAAGTGATAAAAAAAGTCGAATAAGGTACGCTCTGTCGGAAGCAATTTGCGCTCACAACAGAAAGTTGCTTTCAGAGGCGCACTGCTTGGCCCTGATGCGTGATGAGCGCAAAGGCAACCTTCTTCTGCGATTTAAAGCAGTGTTGCCTGATTTGACCATTGTCTCGGGTTCCTTGGGCCTACAGGCACTGGAAGGTTCAGCGGAGAGCATCGCCACGGCGACTGCTCAGATCATGCAACACTTCTGCCAACCTTGGAAGTGTCCACCACGTGGCTCTGCCAAGGCAGAAGGCGTAGTGGATGAAGACTTGTTGCATCGATTGAAGCACCGTGTCTCAATCATTGTCACGGATGCTGCATCGGCAGAACTCTTGGCAAGCGATTTGCACCGCGGGGTCCGTCGTGCAGCCGACCAGACCCAAACATTGGACATTGCTATGCCGAACATCAAAATCGTCGGCCGAGACTGCGCGCATGCTACATCGAGACTGCTAAAGCGACCGTTTTCCAAGAGTCCTACCTTGAACAGTCTCATGCAGGAATGGATCCATGGATCTGATTCCTTCTGTCAGAAAGTTTGGCATTCGCCGCTTCTCAGCAAGTGGTGGGCTAAGGCCATTGGACATGGAGCGGAAGAGTTGGGAATTGACGGTGGTTGCACCTCACTGAGTGCGGCCAAGCACCGTTTCGCAACCTTTCTGAATCCATTGTCTCGGCTTTGCAAAAACCTGCAAACGGTTTTTGACGTCTGCGGACGGGTGCAAGCCATGCGAGGTGAAGAGGCGTCATGGGCTGGAAAGCTTTGTCGCAACTTCAGTGGCTTCAAGGCGGCTTTACTGGCTTTGTGTGCTGATGCTGCCTCCATCTGTTCGGATTTCACTCGTTACAGTGATCGGGAAGATATGGACTTAGCAACATTGAACCTGCATGCGCAAGGGTTTTCAGACCGCGGACGTGCATTGTTCGTCGAAGGCCAGGCGTTGACATTGCCAACCTACACCAGGGAATTGATGGAACGATCTGATCCCATCACTATCATCGTAGACGGGTTTGCGAAAGAGGTCAAAGTCACTCGGCAGGATGTTGACCGGGCTATGGAAGTATTGCAGGACAGAACGCAGTGGTGCGATTGCTTTCTCTTATTTAGCTGATGTCATATATATGTGTATAAAGGATGTCTGCTTTTAAAACCTTGCAGGAATGGCTCTGCGTCGCTGAAGATGTATTGAAGCAAGAATTTCCGAGCTGGCATTTGCTTGCATGCTTTGATGTCTTCCATTTGTCCGAGCACGGACAGAAGACAGACGTCAAACGAAGTTTGGAAAAATTGGGCAAAGCTTTCCGTGTATCAGATGCAGGGTTAAAAGAGCAGTATCAAAAGCTGCTTCCGATTGCCTTGTCTATGCACAAGCAAGGCGGGCTACCCAATCGGGACGCATGGAAGGAAGCCTATGCTCGGACACGGCCAAGAAATGCTTCCCAAGGCAAATATTATGCGCCAGACTTGTTTGAAGTATTGGCAGCTTACATGGCATGGACTAGTTCGTCCAGTGGGGTCGAGCAGCAATTTTCCAAAGTGAAGAGAAGCCCCGTTGAGCTGTCAAGCAGTGCTGCAGACACGGATCGCCGCATGGCTATTGTCATGGGCGAAGGTAGCAAGTCCGATGCCTGTCGGGCAGCAATTGTTGAAGCAGCTCAGAACGTGTACTGTGACCTTTTGCGGTCAGGTGTGGCACGAACACGACAATGCAAGAGATTCGATGCAGGCACTCATCGCGCTGGCCGACAAGGGTCTCATGCTCAGTGGAACAGAGATCGCAAGCAGGCCTTGGACGAAGCTGTTTCGCAGTGTAGCACACCACTGCGTAGACCTCGGCAGGAGTTGCCGGAGTCGCTCGAAAAGGAAAGGGACTTCCAGAAAGAAAAGGAACGGAAACGTAAAGCGGAGGCTTTTAATGACGGCTTGCTGTTAGAGGATGAGGCAACTGACGACGTGAAGAGATTGGCTGCCAGGGTGATTCAGGAAAACCGTCAGAAGGATGCGCAGCGGGCGAAAGCCTGTGCAAAATACAAGCAGAAAGCCAAGCTGGCCTGCCGGAAGAAGCCAAGGCAATGGGCTTTGAAAGACTTAGAGGGGCCAGCATGAAGTTTTCCAATCATGCTCGAGCAGAAGCAGAAGAGCGCTTGCAGAATGTTGGAATCACCGACTTCACGGAGGCAAGTTGGAGGCTATAACACATTTTAAGTTAATTTCGGTTTCCAGGTGCCTTTTTTTTAAATCAGCGTATAGGCATGCTGTGCCGCAGGATATCCGACTGGCGAAGCTATTCGTCATATTGAATTTCCAGAAAGTGGAGAACAAGGTGAAAGTGATGGCAGCTTTGCAAGGAGGCGTCATTCTATCTTCAAGCGTGCTGAATGGCACTGGTGGAATCAAGTTGGGCTTCCATCCTGGTCTTTCCATTGACGCTGCTGTCTTTGCCACTACCGAATTTAAAAGGGAGCAGCTTGGACTGACCATGATGGTCCGAGAGGCCTGCCGACTGTTGCTCCTGAAGCTTTGAATGGCCGTGGTAGAAAGCCAAGCCTTTTGTTAAAAGGCGCCGGGGAAGCCATTCCGGGGTTCAACAGGACGCGTGTCAAATGTTTCACGGCCAGGGACTTTATCCGGTGGCTGGTAGGTTCTTGCCTGAATCGACAGGCAAGCGCACGCATCCACAAATCATAGCAGCTCATTCTGAACCTGAGCCTGGCCTTGGGGTACTGCCGGGAAAGCACAGAAAAGTAAGGCCCTCTTATGCCTTCAAACTTGTTTGACAGTTACTGCAGTCATGACACTTGGCATTGATCATTGCATAGTGTTGTGCATATACATATATATGTGACACACGGAGAAGTGCAAAATGACACGAGCCTCTCTGAAGCGCAGCATTTTGGAAAATAGGCAATACAGAATAGCAGCCGTTCCTGAGATGGTGAAGAGGGTCACCCGCGGGAACAAAAAGTTGAAGTTGCAAAAAAAATCGCGGCCTCTTTCAGTCAGCAAAGACGAGCTGCGCCAACACATACTTCGCGTCAAAGGACTTGCTGCCTCGTGGGAAAATCGTTTAAGACCTTGGCAGCATGGAGGCGAAAGCGTCATTCGGGTCGCTTCGGACTGCTCTGGTCATGGCTCAGGCTTGATTGCATACCGGTTGCTGGGCCTTGTAAAGAAGGTACTGCCAGTCATGATGTCAGAGACAGATGCTGACAAAGTTTGCTTGCACGAAGCAGTGGCCAAAATCTGCGGATTCAATACTTCGAAGTTAACCATGGTGACAGATATGTTTCTGCGGAAACCGGAAGACTGCATATCCACGCACGTCTACGTGGCTGGCTTTCCGTGTCCTTCCTTTTCGAATCTCGGGTAAAGGAGAGGCGTTGTGGATAGACGTGGCCTTTGCACACTGTCTGGCCTCGAATATATTGCCAGAACTCGGCCAAAGGTCATAGTTCTTGAGCAAGTGGCCTCAATATTACACAAGACCCATGCCAAGGTTTGGGGCTTTGTGCTAAAAATTTTGGCCGCGCTGAAATACAAGGTTGTGTTCAAGATACTGAATACCAAAAATTTTGCCGTGCCTCAGAGTAGACCTCGCGTCTACCTGTTAGGCGTCGCTGAGGAAATTTGCTCCGGCAAGTTAGAAATGCCAAAAGAAAGGACAAAGCCTGTGGACTTACACCACTTTTTGAATAAGAGTTGCCAGGGGACAGAGGTTCTCTCTCTTCCCCACTACGAAAAACTTGTGGGGGAGAAACTTTGGAGCCGAGGATTTGTTCTGGATGTAGGCAGCTCGGAGCGCTTTCAGACGGTAATGAAAATGTCACGCCGTGTTTGACACGCACACGGCTTCAGCAACGAGGGTATTACATACCTAAGCTCCGGCGCCGCTTGCTAGGCGAAGAGGCAGCCCGGCTCCAAGGAGTCCCAAGAAAAGTTGTTGATGCAATGCTGCAAGCTGCGGCTGCAAACGCATTGCCCGAACGGACAGTGGAAGGGAGCTTGGGTGATGGCATGTCCATTAACGTCCTTGCAGCTGTGTTGCAAAATGGCCTTGCAGCAGCCAAGCTGGTTCGCCAAGGGCCCGAATATTGGCGAATGGTTTCTGATGGCCAATCTGCTGCTTCTTTGAGCGACAAACTGTTTGACGATCAGATTTGAGCCCCGGAGAGAGAGATGAGCCTGGTTGAGACATTTTAGTTCGCAGATGCTTTGAAAAGTTAGTGCAGCACTGATGTCAAACAGATATATGGGGCGGGTCATTTGACGTATATATGTTAACACATGATGATATACGTAAGTTAAACCAAGAAACATGCTACAGTAACATATAGCTATATACCTATAAAAAAACATGTTGTGTTATACGTCGCTCCGGCTATACGTCGCGGCCTTACCCGCCCTCAGCCCGTGCTGGGAGTGGGTAAGGACCATGCAAACGTTGCACACGTCACAACGGTGGTGGTTACCCTTGGTGGGACAGCCCTACTGACCTTCTCCGGGGTCAGCCTAGGCTGGGTCCGAGTAGGAAGAGGGGGCAAATTGATTGACGTTGCGGCACATTGATTGCCCCATCCCTCTTAGAGCGAAGTCCCTAGACCTTATCCGGGTCCAGCATAGGCTGGGTCCGAGTAGGCACAGTGGCTAACCCCCACTATGTCTTCTCGGCCACGTTATGACTCACGTTGACGTTTGACTTTTTGCGTTGATTTGGACCTGTGTTGTTTAGCGGTTGCCGCGGTTGCTATGGACGTGGCTCATCCGGCAGACTTTTCATTGCTCAAGCTCGGACTTCGACTTACTTCTTAGTTAGTGCGTCCTTGACTCATGACCCAGGAAGTGACAGTGAGCAACATTTCCGCTTGGCGCCTGAATAAGACAGAACAGAAGGAATTGGCCGAGAGGGTGGCGAAGGGAGAGTGTGAGAAAGAAGCCAAAAAGGACATTCAGAGACGAAAGGCGATTGCAAATGAGAATCGCAAGAAAGCGGCGCAGGCTGTTGCAAGCAAGGCAGCAGTGCCAAAAGCTTCGGCAAAGAAAAGATCGCCGGCGATGATTGCGGCTGAGGCCGCTGAACAGCAGCAAACGGCGACGCAGAAGGACCCCACGAATGCTGCTTACTACGCAGAGGTAGAAGCAGACATTCAAGCGATCTTGAAAGAATTCTCCGGAATTGAAAATGAGTTGCCCCTGCACCCGTGTCGGCTGCCAACGGGCCTGGCGCAGAATCTGGAGTTCAGGAGCCTTATCAGTTGGAGAATTGCCAGGCTGCCTTGGAGAAGCACGGCGTCTACCGTTGCAGCATTCCGCTGTTTTGGCTCAATTTGGTTTCCTCAGCCACTCCTGGCATACCTATGTCCAGACGACGTGTGTTGGATTTGTGCGCCTACTACTATCACCAAGATTCGCCGGCATTCATGACAGGAAGATGCGTGGAAGTCTTGGTGGACAAGTCAAGTCTGACTGCCACCCCGTCTCTTTTGCAACAAGTGTCTCCCGAAGAGCTGATTCATTCTTTGCTTGCTTCTTGCGCCAAGTCGATCCTGCTACTTGGCCTGAACTAACACCGTAGTAAGTGCATATTTTTGGGACACATGCTTCTGATATAATGGGCTAGTTTTTAACTATCTGGCTATTACCCTTTCAATGTCATACTTGTCTTCAGGTCAAAAGACACTATGAGTGAAGATCAGTGGCTTGCAGTTCGCGCAACGTGGCGAGCTGTCCTTCTCAGCACACCTTGTTCTTTCATTGGGACTGACGGGCGTGCAGAGACTGTTTGGATCCACGGATTCAACCGGCGCCAATCCATCCGGCAAGACCACGAATCTCTTTCACGCACAGCCATGCAAACAAGCCTCGAGATTGATCAATTCAAGACAATTGTCGAGAGTGCTCCTGGCTGCAAAGGCAAACTGCAACCGGCGCAGTTAGCACAAGCCTTCGTGGAACTGGGTCTCCAGTCCGTGACAGGCGCAAATGGACGAAATGGGGACGAAGATGGCAGGCTGACTGCCAACATGATCACCCAGGCGTTGATGGTCAAGAAAGGCATCCTTTCCTCGCCTAAGTGCGTCGAAATTTTGATGGAATTGGAATCGTCCTTTGGATCCAAGTCGCCTTTTCATCAAATGTCCCGCCTACACGTGCTGAGTACCAAGCCCAGCTCACCAGAGATGCGGGAATGGGTCCTGCAAGGCATCGTTGACATGCTGAACTACGATTTGATTGAAGCAGGAGACATTTCGAAAGCCTGCTTAGCTGGTGACAAACACCACGTTGGCTTGGTGCAAATTCTCGAGATGAAGAAGAAGGTCCGGCAGTTGTTAGACAAGGATTCCCACTGCGTGTAATAGATTTAATTGCTCTTTGGATATATCTAATAAGGCATATAAGAAATATTAGTCTTATGGGGAATATCTATACCTAAATGAAAACATTTATAGCTGGTGATACACCCCCTTGTGTTGCTTGCCAACCCACGCAATAAAATCGAATAGTATTGCCTTTTTGTTTTGGTAAGCCGCCAGGTCTGGTCACACTTCTTCGACGCCGTCTTGCCCAAGCTTGGCTTGTCTGAGGCTGACCGCACCTTGCTCAAGGAAAAGACTGCCCAGCACGACGTCTACAGAAATCATTCCGGAGATGGCGACTGCAGCTGGAGGGGTCGGCTAGCAAAAGCGCTTTGCTTGCCTTGGAATTTTTGGAGGTCTGTGTTTTCAAAGTTGATATGTGTAATTGCATAATTATGTTCATTGCCGGCCCTGAATAGGCTGCGACGTATGATCGCAAGTTGGACCATTTCCTCAAAGCTTGTGTGAAAGCTGGCGGCCAAGTCGAAGCATTCTTGGAATACGAGGCTGTTAAGGAAGAGGTGCAGAAAGTCCAGCATGCCGTGAAGAATGAATCTGCCGAAAAAGCCGCGGAGGCAGACGACAATACGTTTAATGAGGAAGGCGGGGAGGAGAAGGACCCAGAAAACCAGCAGCTTGCTTTGCTGCGCCGCCCACCGGCACAACAACCTGAGGGCTCCGAGAGTTATTGGAGAAGCGTAGCCAATGTACATGTGCGCACATACGTTACTTTGCTGACTGAACCGGCCACCTTAGATGGCGTAGTAACTTCGGTTGCTGGAGGGCCTCTGCGTGAGGAAAAAGGAGAGTCCGGCAAGTCGACCATTGCCATCGTGTTGGATTGCGATTTGCTTGGGGAAAGCCAAGGACCATCGAGCCAACCATTTCTGCGGAAAAAGTTCGTGCCTGATCAGAACCTTGTGCGCAAGCTGCTCCACGGAGCATTGATTGGTCGTGGCTCGCAAAAAAAAGAATCTGGCGAAGCAACCGTCCCTGCAAGTCAAGATTTAGTGATTTTGCAGTGCGGTGCCGACAAGTCTGTCAAAGAAGCCGAGTCGCACTTCAAGGTCAGCTCGTCTCGGAAAGACGCATCCATTGACTGCGAGCATAAGGAAGTGCTGGTGGTCTTGTCCGACGGGTCCGTCCGCGGACGCAAACAGCGTGTGAAAGGGACATACTCTTTACGAACTTCTTTGCACTTATTTTCCTCGGAACCTTTGGCGACCATGGTCCCGGAAAGGCAATTCCCAGACTTCAGTGGACACAACACTAGCGACCTCTTTGCCACCGTTTCTGTACTGCAGCCGGAGGACATGTGGCACTTAAGCAGGCCTGGTTGTTTGACAAAAAAATGACTTGTTTCAAAGTCTTGTAGATAAAGTACCCACTGACGCGTCTTCTATAGGAAAGACAAAGAAGAAGTGCTTGCTGGGCGAACCGTGACGGTCACTGATGCCGCGGCCGAGAAGCAAGCTGCGAAGAAGCAAGCGTCCGGAGTCGCGCCTGCCGAATCGGTGTTTTCTGCAGAAACTTTGCCTCAGAAATTTTGGTCCAGCTTCCTGAAGGGCCACGGCTGCAAAGGTGTGCTATTGAGCCAACATTATGTATTTTACGGACTTTCCAATTTTCAAATGGGAAGGACAATGTCGGGGGAAAGAAGATATATTTTTCAAACTTTCGAATCGTTTATGTCCTGAGGCTTGCTCTCTCCATGGGTCAAGGTGAGCTTGCCAAAGCTTGCATTTCTGAAAGGATTCCTTGTCAGGCTTTCACGGTGACCGATGCCCATGCTAAACATTTGGAGCTGCTGCTGACGGAATTTGTCTTGGGTCTGATGAAGACAGAGGGATCGTCGTTCTACCGGGCGGCTGCGGCTGGCTCCGGGGGTGGCGCAGAAGAACAGGCAAAGCGAAAGAAAGAGGAAGATGATCAAGAAAAGAAACCCAAGAAGCCAAAGACGGCGCCGAAGAAAAAGCAAAAAAAAGCTGTGGAAGCAGAGACGCAGAACGAGAACCAAGACGAGCAGAATGAGGACGAAGACGAGCAAGATTCTGATATGCCTTGGTAAGTTTAAGATGCGAGGTCTGAATGAGACTGCCGCGGCAAGTTTTAATTTTCTGCAGCGCTCTGGAGCGCGACCAACAAGGACCATAATAAACCTTGCAGAATAATATATACCGAAACTCTGCTGACGTTGCTATATTTATTATAAGTTTCCAAATGAATTCAGTTTTGTGTTCACTCAACTTACGTGACTTCTCTTGTCCTCGTTGGTGGGCATTCTGAGCAAACGCACGACAGGCTGGAGCAGATTCCATGATTTTGAACAACACCATCCATGGACAAAATGCATAACTGCCTTCTGCCGCTGTTTCTCTCAGAAAACATATATGATGCACTGTGTTTTTAAGCTTATTACTTTATACAGCATTCTGTCAGCTTTCGGCTCGAAGAGTGACAAAAGAAGCTGGAGGCACTTCGAAGTTCCAGGCACGTGGGTGGGCCGTGGGTGCTTTGTCATGTTTTTTTTGGTCACGGGTTTTGACAGTCTAGAGATGGTCCACCATCCCCGGATGGCTCGAGTCCACAGACTCAATTATATATTGATATTGTCCATCATCGGAGGCGCGAGTCCACGGACTAGTGGGAAAAAAGGGATGACAATCTAAGGACTGATGCCGAGATGGACCATCGTCGGATGGTGCGAGTCCACGGACTCGAGAGAAGGGAAAGGGGTGACAGTCTAAGGACTGATGCTGAGATGGACCATCGTCGGATGGCGCGAGTCTACGGACTCGAGAGGGGAAAGGGGTGACAGTCTAAGGACTGAGGCTGAGATGGACCATCGTCGGATGGCGCGAGTCCACGGACTCGAGAGAAGATGACAGTCTAAGGACTGATTCAGAGATGGTCCAGCATCGGATGTCGCGGGTCCACGGACTCGAAAAGGGAGGAATCGTAGGATGGCTTGAGTCCACGGACTCAAGAGAAGAAAAGGGATGAGAGTCTAAGGACTCACAGATGGCGCTAGCCCACGAACTCCACTATTAATAGTCTACGATGGATGTAGACACGTATATGGTCTCCGGACTGAGATGTTTTCGATTGTAGTGTTGCATACTTCCACGCCCTCATCAATTCATCAATCATGTGTCATTGAATGTCAATTTGACATCTGTGATGTTTGTGCATGTCGTTGAATTTGTTGCCCCTGTCAGGTCTGCAAGCGATGGCAGGCGAGAAAAAGCGGAAGGCAGAGCTAAAGGTGCCGGCTTCAGGGGCAGAGGACTCGTACGACGACGACGACGAAGACGAGGAATCTGAAGAAGAGGTTGTTGAAGTCTGTGACCAAACGGTGGAAGAAAGGCCTGCACGGCCTGTGGAGGGCGCACGCGCCAAGTTCGGGTCAATTGTCGGCCCGAGGGGTGAGACAGGCACTGCTCCGGACAGGCGTTCCCGTCCACCTCCTGAGCCCAAGAACCCGCCAAAGGCGCCGCAAGAGCCACCAATGTCCACGGACCCGAAGCATGGAACAAGCTACTGCCACATTTGCCTCAAGGAGGTAGGCGGCGGGGAGTCCGGGCGCTGGCAACATGTCAGATCCCCTGCCCACCTCTCGTATTACCTCTGGAGCCAAAATGAAGAGAAGCGGTTTGGCAAGTCGTGGTATCAATGCAAGAGCGAAGCCAAAGCCTGGGCTGACAAACTCTGGCAGAACTCAGGCCAACGTGCCCCGTCCTTAGGAAGAGAAGACGGAAAAAAAGAAAAGAAACAGAGGTATGAGGCGCCTCCTCCAGTGCCAAGGGCTGACGTCGAGAAGTGGGATAAGAAAGATCCACCAGGCGGAGGAAGCGGCGATGCTGGTCCAAGTGGTGGCAGCAAAGGCCGCAATGATGCCCTGATCTTAGGATTATGGCAAGCAACGCTGCGACAGTTGGATAACTGAAGCTGAAGGCTGCGAACGCCGGGTCCTTGGACATATAAGGCTCTGTCTACGGACAGTATAAAAATGTCTACGACATTAATTCATGGATGTCTACGGACTGCTGACTAAGTCTACGGACGTGTCCTTGGACTAAAATGTCTACGGGCTCTGGCCCCCGAAGTGGATTAGACTTGGCGGCGGTGGAGTAAACGCTCTCTACCAACCCTAACCCCTAAACTTTAACTCTAAACTTGAAACCCTAAACATTAAATGACTTTACTAAATAACTTCAAGCTTTAAACATATAACCTTAATCTCTAAACCCTAAACGCGCGCTCGCGCGCGCTCGCCAAACCCCAAACGCGCGTCGCAACGACAAAACTTTTTTAACGTTAGCCGGAAAAAACTTGAATCTGATGATGCTGCTTCGTCAATTGCATTGACAGGATTGAGTCGTCTCAAATTTAAAAGCACCACCTGCACGTGAAGCCATGGAAAAGCGCACCTGTGTTTTGCTGAAAGTCAATGGCGAAGAGTACCGAGTAAAAAAGGAATGGTGGAGAGACTCAGTGCAAGGAACCTGGTTTTGCAGGCCACTGCTGATTGGCCGTTGGCGAGTGTGGAGCTGGGCCACCGCACGCTTCAAAATCAGTGAAGTGAGTCGTCAGCTCAAAGCCATGAAGCAGAAATGGAACGTATTCAAGAATAAAAGGCTTTCCAAAGTGACCCGCACACATTCGTGTGCTATTGTACAGAAGTCTAAACGCTAAAAGCGTCGCATGGGCCAGTTTTGCTTACTGACATCGCTCATTGCAGATGTCATCAAGCCAACGTTTCCGGAAATTACTTCCTGGACACATCAGAGCAAATTTCAGCTGTGCAAATACGGTGGGTGCATGAGTTTGTTTGCCTGCAGGTGGAAGTTCATATGAAATAAAGTCAAATCGTACAATGTTGGCATTACGCGCCCTTTCCAAAAAATGCAAACATATGCAAAAATTATTCAATCTGTGTGCAACTTTTGTGACTCTGCAGCCGAATCATTTAGCTTCAAACGTCTGACTGTCGGCCTCGTGTCTTCACACGGTGAGATGTTCACCAGCTACAGAAGGAACGTGGCAAAGTGGACCAAGACCTGGAATCGCACAGATGGAGAATATTTCTGTGAAGCTGTCAGCATGGACGATGCGCAAGTGACAGAGTACTGGACAAGAATTCCAAAAGAAATGCCTCGTGGCAGTCATGAAAAGGGGCCTGACATGATCATGGGCGATGGCGAGCCATCCAAGAAACCTGCCTCGGCGAAGAAAGCTACACGTGCCGCAGAGAGCAAGGCAAAAAAAAAACCGGCCGCAACGGCCAATTTTGCCAAAGCACCCAAGAAAGAAGCGGCGAAGGAAGCCAAGACTATGAAAAAGGCTAAGTAAGGCTTCCAGCCTTAGATGGAGCAAACCCTTGACTGAGCGTAGGCATCAGGTCCTGTTGTTACTGAGTTTTTGAAAACCAACTGACCAATTACTGAACGATATATTTGATATCAAACAAATCAAACAATAGAAATGTGTTGTTTCCATCTGCGGCCCCAAACAGTTCAGCAGGACATGATGTTGTTGCCGGAAGTCAGGGACGGAAGCCGCAAATGAGCTATATAATGTCTAAGGACAAGTCTATACGGACAAGCCATAACGGAAGAAGTCTGTCAACAAACAATGCCTGAAAAAAGTCTACGGACTTCAAAGAATGTCTACGGACAATGCCTGATTTAGAGTCTATACGGACTTCAAAAAAGGCCGCGTGTCTATGGACATATAATATAAGCCCACGGACTGGGAGAAACGCCCTTGGGTCTATGGACTCACTAATCCGCCGACCCCGGCCTTCGCCAAGGCAGGGGCGGCGCCTGGGACCACCGCAGGTGTGGAACTTGTCTTTCTTAGCAACAGGCATCCCAAGGCCACATCCATGGCTTTTTATGGGCGTCCACGCTTGCCGTTTGCCAGCCCTAGAACGCTCCAAACCCCTAAAACCCCTCAAAGGCACTTCCATGGCTTCTTATGGGCTTCCAGCGCAGGCAAAAGCCCACATCCATGGCTTTTTATGGGCGTCCAAGCTTGCCGTTTGCCAGGCCTCAAACCCTCCAAACCCTTCAAACCCCTAAAACCCCTCAAAGGCCACTTCAATGGCTTCTTATAGGCTTCCAGCGCCCACATCCATGGCTTCTTATGGGCGTCCAAGCTTGCCGTTTGCCAGGCCCAAAACCCTCCAAACCCTCCAAACCCCTAAAACCCCTACAAGGCCACTTCAATGGCTTCTTCTGGGCTTCCAGCGCAGGCAAAAGCCCACATCCATGGCTTTTTATGGGCGTCCAAGCTTGCCGTTTGCCAAGCCTAAAACCTTCCAAACCCCTCAAACCCCTACAAGGCCACTTCAATGGCTTCTTCTGGGCTTCCATCGCAGGCAAAAGCCCACACACATCCATGGCTTTTTATGGGCGTCCAAGTTTGCCGTTTGCCAGGCCTAAAACCCTCCAAACCCTCCAAACCCCTAAAACCCCTAAAACCCCTACAAGGCCACTTCAATGGCTTCTTGTGGGCTTCCAGCGCAGGCAAAAGCCCACATCCATGGCTTTTTATGGGCGTCCAAGCTTGCCGTTTGCCAAGCCTAAAACCCTCCAAACCCCTACAAGGCCACTTCAATGGCTTCTTATGGGCTTCCATCGCAGGCAAAAGCCCACATCCATGGCTTTTTATGGGCGTCCAAGCTTGCCGTTTGCCAGGCCTCAAACCCTCCAAACCCTCCAAACCCCTAAAACCCTTAAAACCCCTAAAACCCCTACAAGGCCACTTCAATGGCTTCTTCTGGGCTTCCAGCGCAGGCAAAAGCCCACATCCATGGCTTTTTATGGGCGTCCAAGCTGGCCGTTTGCCAAGCCTAAAACCCTCCAAACCCCTCAAACCCCTACAAGGCCACTTGAATGGCTTCTTATGGGCTTCCATCGCAGGCAAAAATCCACATCCATGGCTTTTTATGGGCGTCCAAGCTTGCCGTTTGCCAGGCCTAAAACCCTCCAAACCCTCCAAACCCCTAAAACCCTTAAAACCCCTAAAACCCCTAAAACCCCTACAAGGCCACTTCAATGGCTTCTTCTGGGCTTCCAGCGCAGGCAAAAGCCGACATCCATGGCTTTTTATGGGCAGGCCACTTCAATGGCTTCTTCTGGGCTTTCATCGCAGGCAAAAGCCCACATCCATGGCTTTTTCTGGGCGTCCAAGCTTGCCGTTTGCCAGGGCTAAAACCCTCCAAACCCTCCAAACCCCTAAAACCCCGAAAAGGCTACTTCAATGGCTTCTTATAGGCTTCCAGCGCCCACAACCATGGCTTTTTATGGGCGTCCAAGCTTGCCGTTTGCCAGGCCTAAAACCCTCCAAACCCTCCAAACCCCTAAAACCCTTAAAACCCCTAAAACCCCTAAAACCCCTACAAGGCCACTTCAATGGCTTCTTCTGGGCTTCCAGCGTAGGCAAAAGCCCACATCCATGGCTTTTTATGGGCGTCCAAGCTGGCCGTTTGCCAAGCCTAAAACCATCCAAACCCCTCAAACCCCCACTTGAATGGCTTCTTATGGGCTTCCATCGCAGGCAAAACCCCACATCCATGGCTTTTTATGGGCGTCCAAGCTTGCCGTTTGCCAGGCCTAAAACCCTCCAAACCCCTAAAACCCCTAAAACCCCTACAAGGCCACTTCAATGGCTTCTTCTGGGCTTCCAGCGCAGGCAAACGCCCACATCCATGGCTTTTTATGGGCGTCCAAGCTTGCCGTTTGCCAAGCCTAAAACCCTCCAAACCCCTACAACCCCGAAAAGGCCACTTCCATGGCTTCTTATGGGCTTCCATCGCAGGCAAAAGCCCACATCCATGGCTTTTTATGGGCGTCCAAGCTTGCCGTTTGCCAGGCCTAAAACCCTCCAAACCCCTCAAACCCATACAAGGCCACTTCAATGGCTTTTTATGGGCTTCCATCGCAGGCAAAAGCCCACATCCATGGCTTTTTATGGGCGTCCAAGCTTGCCGTTTGCCAGGCCTAAAACCCTCCAAACCCTCCAAACCCCTAAAACCCCTAAAAAACCTAAAACCCCTCAAAAGCCCACATCCATGGCTTTTTATGGGCGTCCAAGCTTGCCGTTTGCCAGGCCTAAAACCCTCCAAACCCTCCAAACCCCTAAAACCCCTAAAAGGCCACTTCAATGGCTTCTTCTGGGCTTCCAGCGCAGGCAAAAGCCCACATCCATGGCTTTTTATGGGCGTCCAAGCTGGCCGTTTGCCAAGCCTAAAAAAACCCTCCAAACCCCTAAAACCCCTAAAAGGCCACTTGAATGGCTTCTTATGGGCTTCCATCGCAGGCCCACATCCATGGCTTTTTATGGGCGTCCAAGCTTGCCGTTTGCCAGGCCTAAAACCCTCCAAACCCTCCAAACCCCTAAAACCCTTAAAACCCCTAAAACCCCTAAAACCCCTACAAGGCCACTTCAATGGCTTCTTCTGGGCTTCCAGCGCAGGCAAAAGCCCACATCCATGGCTTTTTATGGGCGTCCAAGCTGGCCGTTTGCCAAGCCTAAAACCCTCCAAACCCCTCAAACCCCTACAAGGCCACTTGAATGGCTTCTTATGGGCTTCCATCGCAGGCAAAAGCCCACATCCATGGCTTTTTATGGGCGTCCAAGCTTGCCGTTTGCCAGGCCTAAAACCCTCCAAACCCTCCAAACCCCTAAAACCCCTACAAGGCCACTTCAATGGCTTCTTCTGGGCTTTCATCGCAGGCAAAAGCCCACATCCATGGCTTTTTCTGGGCGTCCAAGCTTGCCGTTTGCCAGGGCTAAAACTTTCCAAACCCTCCAAACCCCTAAAACCCCGAAAAAGGCCACTTCAATGGCTTCTTATAGGCTTCCAGCGCCCACAACCATGGCTTTTTATGGGCGTCCAAGCTTGCCGTTTGCCAGGCCTAAAACCCTCCAAACCCCTAAAACCCTTAAAACCCCTAAAACCCCTAAAACCCCTAAAACCCCTACAAGGCCACTTCAATGGCTTCTTCTGGGCTTCCAGCGCAGGCAAAAGCCCACATCCATGGCTTTTTATGGGCGTCCAAGCTGGCCGTTTGCCAAGCCTAAAACCCTCCAAACCCCTCAAACCCCTACAAGGCCACTTGAATGGCTTCTTATGCGTAGCTGCAGCGATCTCAACAGGAGACATGCGCATTAGAAGGTCTTGGATGTCTTGGGGTGTTTCACAGTCTTTCATCCTGGTGGCGTCGACACAATGACGTCATGAGTATTCCCCAATTTCTATCATCATTCCACTTTTGCGAATGGAATGCATGTAATGTACTATATATATATATACATACGTATGTTTAACAATGTTTAGGCCTAGCCGTTTGCTGGGCTTCTTGAGTGGCTCTATGTCTGCGCACTTCTTCCTCCACCCTTGAAAAGGGGTCGGCGGCACCAGGGCGTTAGCCCATTTATATACCTGATCATGGCAACCGTATTTTTTAGCTCAGCAGGTTTCAAATGAGAGACTCTTCTCTTCGTCGGGTGAAAAAGTCAGTGCATACGGGACCAAACTTTTGTCAATGTTGCCAGTTGCCACCAGGACCATCTCATGCTTCGTCAATGTCTTCTTTGTTGTCCTCCTCGTTGTCCTCGTCGCGCTTGTTAGTGTTGGTGTTGGGGGTTGGTGTTGGCATTGGTGTAATTGTTGCTGTTGCTGTTGCTGTTGCTGTAGCACTAGTAGTAGTAGTAGTAGTAGTAGTAGTAGTAGTAGTAGTAGTAGTAGTAGTAGTAGTTGTTGTTGTTGTTGTTGTGGTGCAACAATAGGCACGCAAACGCATCAACATCAACATCAACAACAACATCAAAAGCAACAGCAACAGGAACAGCAACAACAACAACAACAACAGCTACAACAGCTCCCCACAGCACCAACAACAACATAAAAAGAAACCAAGAAACCGCTATACAACGCCAAGTCGCAGCCACTCGAGAGGCCGCAAATGGCTGCAAGTGGCCGCTCCAAGCGAGTGGCCGCAAGTGGCCGCAAGTGGCCGCTCCAAGCGAGTGGCCGCAAGTGGCCGCTCCCAGCGAGTGGCCGCAAGTGGCCGCAAGTGGCCGCTCCAAGCCGTTCCCAGCGAGTGGCCGCAAGTGGCCGCAAGTGGCCGCAAGTGGCCGCTCCAAGTGGCGCAAGTGGCCGCAAGTGGCCGCAAGTGGCCGCAAGTGGCCGCTCCCAGCGAGTGGCCGCAAGTGGCCGCAAGTGGCCGCTCCCCAGCGAGTGGCCGCAAGTGGCCGCAAGTGGCCGCAAGTGGCCGCAAGTGGCCGCTCCCAGCAAGTGGCCGCAAGTGGCCGCAAGTGGCCACTCCCAGCGAGTGGCCGCAAGTGGCCGCA